TCCAATAATACTCTTTATGTTAAAGAAATTTTTTAATAAAAATTTGAAATTGAAAGTTAAATTTGTTAACAACTCCATTAAAAACAATACTTATATACAATGAATCCTTTTTAAGTTTACCGTACATGATATACTAACAAAAGAATAATTAATGAGTGTATTAAAAGTGCAATTATTCTAAATTAGGACTAGCGACAACTCATGTAATGTAGGAAATGAGTCAATCAGAATTAAGTTAATGCAAGAGTGTGCGTGGATGTACATGCTCGAAATATTTTTCTTAAGCCATGTCCATAATGTTTTTTCTTGATTCTTTCGATAGAAACAAATATTAAATTATTTATTTTTATTCTCTCTCTTTTTCAAAGTGTATCGAACCACTCCTAAAGGGCTGTTCGAGAGATTTCGAGAAGTGTAGGTTAAGCAAAAAATGGGGGAGTCAAACAGATACATAGATTTGTTTACTAAAAAAAGTGTACTTAGTCATGGTGAACTATTTATATTTATAATTCCTATAAATTATACTATTGAACAATTGCATGCAAATAACATGTGTATTAAATAACATATATATCTATATAATAAAGTAGAGCTGAGTTTGAATTCAGAGACAAAGAGAAATCCAGATCGTTTTGAAACAAAACATAAACTCATCCAACAGACAATGTAATCACAACATAAAATATGGTTCTAATCATCTCATAAATATTAATCTGATAATTATAATTGGACTTAACTATAACACTCTTATCCCTCATATAACTCTCTCTCTCTCTTATCTCTTAGAAGTTTTAAACACACTATCTCATCTCCTCTTTCTCTCTCTCTCTCTCTCTATATATATATATAATAATAATAAAGTACTTAGATCTCTTGACGATTATTAATCTGACGGTTCTCATGCCAAAATTTTTTAAAACTCCTATCTCTTATTTAACTTTCTTTCTTTCTCTCTCTCTATCTCACCTATACTAATAAGATAGAGGTAATTTCAAACTTCCCAAATTGAAAATCAATCTTCTCATTTAATTAATGATTTTAATTAATAATTTTTTTTGTATTATAAAGTACCTTTAGGCATGACAATTAACTAGGAGGTACAATATTTTAATTTTACAGGTTATTTGGCTTCTAAGGGATGAATGAATGTATTTAATTATTGATATTAACGTCAGTTTAGTGTCAGTTTAGTTTATAATTTGTATCTTATTCATTTTTGTATAAGATGTTTTGAATTATTAAATTGCAGCAATTGATAAACAATGGTAATAGCGATATTAATGTGATGTGACAAGATTATTGATTTAAAATAGTGTTTATTTATAGAAATGTTTGATTATGAGTTGTACACACAGGTTGATATTGTCAATTAAATGATATTTTCAAGGAAAACTCTATCGAAATTTTTTTAAAGATAAAAGTTGATTTATATTAACTACTGAGATTTTATGTGTTAAACCAATTATTTTTGTTTGATATTCACGTATATAGTCATAACTATCTGTAATATATTATTGGTAGTAGTATTGTTGAACAGTTAATTTTATGTGTTACACCAATTATTTTGATTTGGTATGCCTTTTAATTAACCACAATTTTTTTTTATTACTCTGTGCCTTTAGGCACAGACAATTACTAGTATATATATATATATTAGATGTCTAAATTACCAGAAAAAAAAAAATATGTAGCACTACTTTATAAGAGCAACTCCAACGCGAGTTGACATCAAGGGTGTCATCTCCATAACCGCTAAAATGGCATCTACTGTTTTGGGGTGACATATTTGGCAACTTTGGGAAGAGAATGGAGAGGTTGCAAAATAGCCGTTGGTGACTACTGTTCCTCTTAACGGCAATATTCTACCTAAAATTTCTATAAAAATACAAAGAGAGAAAAGGAGAAAGAGACTTGCCTGAAATCGATTTGTGTACTACAACATTAGGAATCGCATAGTCTAGTTTCCCTGAATCCTTGCCTTTGATACCGAACCCTAGCTTTCCTGAACCCTTGTCGTTGGTGTACTGCTCGCATAGTCCCGTTGCCGTCGTAAGTTGCAGGGAGACGCAGGGGAAGGGGAAGAAGACATTTGGTAAAGGGGAAGGGGAAAAAATGATCTGGTAAGGGAAAGGAGGTAGGAACCGTTTTATTTAAGGGAAGGAGGAGGCGTTGTAATTTACATCTGTCTCCTATTTTTATTTTAATTTATAATTTGTAATATAATTTATAATTTATGGCAGATTTATTTGTTTTAATTAGGAGTAATTTTATTTATTTTTTAATTAATTATTTTAATATATATAATTAATTATTTTTTAATTCATCTACAATATATATATATATATATATATATATATATATATATATATATATATATATATATATATATATATTGTAGATGAATTCGCAATTTGACGGTTCTTTCACTGATTTGCTTATGAACGACACCAATTTATATGATGATGTTATGCAGATCAATCCCACAGTATTGGAGCCAATACAAAATGAAGTCGTTCCAAGAGTTAGAAAATCGCAAAGGACAAAGAACATCTCTCTAAAAAAAGATAAATTAATTGTGTCTCATGGCTTAACACGATTAAAGATGCAATTATTGGGAATGAAGAATAATGTGGTACGTTCTGGCAAAGAATATTTTAATACTTAGAACTTCATTGAGGCAATCAAGAAGAGTGTTCACAATCTTTTATTAAAAGTCGTTGGACTGATATAAATGCAAAATGCGGCAAAATTTATCGATTTTTATAGTTAAGTTGAAAGACTGCGACAAAGTAGACAGACCAAGCAAAATAATGTAATGATTAAGATTTTAATTTAGACACTACTATGATTTGATATTTGAACTATTGACTGAATAATTTCATATGTTTTTCAGGTTGATGACGCAAAAGAAATGTTTGCTAAAATTATTGGAAGACCAGTTCAATACGAGCATTGTTGGAATATATTGAAAATGGAGTGAAAATGGATTGATAATCTCATCAGCAATCAGAGAGCAAAAACTCATTCAACTGGTAGTTCTGGTGAATCAACTCATGTTGAATCTTGCTATTCAACTCCATATTTAGGGGATGATACTAAACCCTCGTCCACTCCCAACCTCGATAGGTCAATGGGTAGAAAGGCTTCGAAGAAATAACTTAAAAACAAAGAGAAGCAAATCGGTGTTGAAGCATCACTAGATCATCACTACTGGAATAAAAGAATGGAAGTGGAACGACAAAAAGTTGAGTGACACGACAAAATTTATGCTCAACAGAAGATAGCATTGGAGCAACATCGTAGACAGTTCAGAACCTCCTTCGGAAAAAACCTTCACATACACAAGGGGTAGCAAAATAGTCACGATAGAGTCTTTCGTGATTTTCAACTCTACCACGACTAACTATTCTGTGGCTTAGAATGGAACCACGATGTCTTCTTATCCGTCCTTGACTAGACCCTTCTAACCTTTTAGTTGCAGCATACAACATACCTAATTCATCATTATCTTCTTCTTCAATATTGAGGATCTCTCTTAAAATATTAGGATAACGATTCATATAGCTTGATGAATGAAAATATGAATGGATAAATAGTCAAAAAGAAAGGAGATATTAAATTTATTGAGAGAATGTAAAATAGATGGATGAAAACATGAGAAAAATAATCATATTTATAGACGAATTATACCTTTTTAATTTTTATTTTGGCGGTTAAATTTTCAAATTTGAATTTTGGCGGGCAAAATTTGAAATTTGAAATTTTACCTGCCGAAATTTGAAATTTTTACTATAAAAATATATCTGTTAAATTGCGATCGTTATGAAAATTATACTTGTTAAAATATAACCGTTAAGTTTAATTATATTTTTTAATAAAAAATATTGAAATATTAAAATGGCACCTCATTTTGGCACCTACCATTGGAGCAGAAATACTGTTTAGGGGTGCCAAAACACTGTTCAAAATTACAAAATGACATTTGGCACCCCATTTTTGGCAACTCCCATTGGAGTTGCTCTAACATTGAATATCTTTATTATAACACCACTTTAAAACGGTACACGCAAGATTTTTGATAAATTAAAATACAATGCTTAAAATATGGATTAATACATATATTGTCTTTAATCCTTGTGTGTTATCCAATAATCAATTTTGTCTCACCTAATCGATTAAATGAATGAAGACTCAACAGTGAGGGACTTGCAGAGACTACCATCATTGTAAGATGCGTAGACAATTCGATCTTTTGAACAGAATAAGACACAACAAGGTTGACTCTAGAGCCCGATTCGTTAAATAGTTGCTTAAAGCCTCCAAAATTTAGGACTCCAATTTAATTATCAACCCTTAATTCAACATCATGTTTTGAATTCTTTTGAATTGACCAAGTTAAAGGCACAATCTATTCACAAGTCTATGTAAAGTTTTGTAGAAAATTCTAAAATGTAACAATATTTTCACAAGTCTATATAAAGTTTTATAGAAAGTCATAAAATATTACAAAACTTTCCAAAAAAACTTAAAAGTAATGACTTCTAACTATAAAAATAGTAATCTCTCTCAAAAAATTTTCACTCTCTTTCCACCACTCTCACCACATCTCTTCTTGGCAAACTCCAACCCCAATAAGTCAAAATAGTGCCAGACAGAACTTCGGTAAAGAAGTTAGACCACACAGCCGCCTGGATTCCATATAGCCATGCCATCAGCCGAGGATGTTAAATCCTCTAGCAAATTCCTTGCTAGCAATTGTATGATACCTGTCATCATCCACATATGCTTCAATCTATATGAATATGTTTGTATTTGAATCGGATACAAACAAATTCAACTGAGAGATTGAAACAATCCGAATCACTTGTGAAAGTGATTTATTTGGGAATACGATAACATCGGATCGTAAAAGAGTAGAAACTTCCTCTCGTTCTTCAACTGACAAACATGGGTTCAATGTGGCTCTTATTTTTCAAACCAATTGCCTTTAATCCTACCAGTTATTGTGCATCCTCTAATGAGGACACGACCCTCCACGGTGAATCCGTAACCTGAAAATAAAATAAAGATTATAAAAAAATGAAGAAGCTAAACCACAAAAAAAAAAAAAAAAGTGCTTGCAATATTGTTACAATATATAGTCTTTTGTTTACCACAAATCTCCTGTTCAACGCAAACAAAAAATTCCTATTTTCTAAAGTCAATCCTTTAACAACTAAGGAATATTAAAACCTTTAGTGGTATCCACATAAGTCGTGACAACTCGAGTCAACAATCGCCAGTTGAATAAAATATTCATAGAGCAGTTCTTGTGTGTATGCATTGATTCATTTGAAGCAGTGTTTGCTGACTTCAACATATGTTCTCATCTGAACAGGCATGTCTCTAGTTTTTGAAACACCATTTTCAGCCACAAGAACATTACCGGCACCTGTGGTCACATCGTTTTCCATGATACTAGAAGGAGGAACACCATCTGCTGAAGCTTCATCAATCTCCATCTCAGTAGCTTCTTTGGCAGACTCTTTTACAAATGGTACTTCAACATCTTTTTCCAAAAGCTAAATTGTATATCAAAAAAAATTCATTAAAGATTTAACTATAACAATAGAAAGAGTGGGCAAAAGCTATCTCCAACACTTACAGTTGCTGACTGAACCGAAACAATGTCATCCTGATTTAGACAGACTCTTAACTTCAATTTGGCACATTCACCATTTTTGGATTGGAAGGGACTCTATATTGTGCAAACCTAAAAGCTTGTGTGAAACATCAACCAATAAAGTGTGCAGATCATTTACCATATAAGTGCTGATCTTTTTTTGTCCTTGATATTCACTCATGTCAGCATAATGAAAGTATATTGAGAAAGTGCCGGATCTGGAAAATGTCAGATGCTTCACCCTTGTTATCAGATTTCCCTTGTGAAAAACATTTTCAGCCCTATTTTGGAACTATGGAGCTGAACCTTTCCACGACCAAGCAATGGGAATTGGGAAGGGAAAGATGTCATTGACCATTTTTTTTTTTTTTTTGATCAAAGATGTCATTGACCTTCAAAACCCAATAATAATCAATCAAATAAAATGTTTTATCACATCTTGCTAGATGCGATTTGGAAAAAAGAAAGTAAAACAAAAATCATGTAGGAGAGCAAGAACAACACTTCCAAAAGTAAATATGTCACTCAGTTATTCTAGGAACTAGTTATTTGAAGGGGGGAAATCAAGGGTGCAAGCCTCTCATGTTAGAAAATGACATGGAGCAACTACACCCGTGAAAATGCCCAACTGAATTCAATCCACCCAACCAGACAAAACCGGGTGGGGTAATTGTTTCCTTTGCTTTTCTTCCTTGATTGTAAATCCCTTTTCACAAATAAAGATAAAGTAGTTTTTTGGAATAAGAGAAAAAAAAGGGGTGACTAGATCATAAATTGGCTAAATCTATATCAACAAGCATAGCACCTGTGTCAGCATTCACTGCACACCTACTGGAGGTATCTTAATTTATGTAGGCTTCAAAGAATTAAATTTAATGCTACAATGAAAAAATCACTCCTTGATCGGATTTAGAAACAAACCTTGGTGCTTCATAAATTCATAATAACAAGTGTCACGGCAATAGGAGCATGAGAATGTGGTTCAACTTTTCTGCAGGTTGAGATATTTAACATTAACTCATTTTGCATATGAACGGGAAAAATCGGTGATAGCGTGAAAGTTACATGTCAACTTTCTCAAGTAGGCACAATGTACAGAATAATAACCCACTAACACCGTGCATAAGAGTGAAAAAGCACCACGTGTATAAAAGGTAAATTACCACAAGAAAAAGAAATACGTTGTTAAAAAATCAGAGCCGCTGCAATGCACTAAACAAGAACTTGTTTATTGTAGATGAGGAGGAGAAAGAAGGAGGGGTCAAACATAACATGCACACACCAACAACGAATCGATAAAACTAAATAGAAATAGAAGAAGAGAAGGACAAAGGACGAGGGGTTAATACAGATTCAATGGAAGATGACTTCACCTGGAACTGTCGCACTTTAAATGTGGGACTAACAATTGCACATTGTAGAGCACAACCTTTGGCAACACACTCGATGGCCTTCATAGTATGGCTCGACTCTTTTCCAAAGAATTTCTTTAGTCTCCTGGTCACAGCAGGGACACGAGACCCTGAACCGATAACCTCAACAACATGGATATCCGTAACTGAAAGTCCAACATCTAGAAGAGCCTTCTCTAGTGGCTCCGTTACACTTGAAAGAAGTGAAACACTAAGTTGTTCAAATTTCTCCCTCTGGATGCAGCCTTTAACATCCTTTTCCTCCATCAAGCACTCTATATTCAGAGGTGCCTCTGCATTTGCACTCAGAACCTTCTTCAACTTTTCACAAGCAGCGCAAAGCCTAATGCAAGCCCTTGCATTCTGGAAAACATCAGTCTTGTACTCTTCCTTGAATGTCATAGCAAAATACCGAAACAGAACTTCATCAAAATCTCTTCCACCAAGGGATTGATCAAATGAGTGGGCCAATATCTTCATCTTCCCTTTCTCAAAAACCAGCAATACAAACATACATACTAGCATGTCCAATGTCAACAAATGCAACATTCAATTGATCATTCTCAGGTAAATCCGTCTTATAAATTCCATATGCCAATGAAGCGGATGCAAGCCTGCATTTGTAGCTGCATCCATAACAGCTTCTCTTTGATGATCAGCAAAATAAACAAGTATTCCAACATAGCAATCGACAACATCTGCATCATGATGCTTCTTTGCAATGCTCTTCAAATCAGAGAACACTTTTCCCAAAACTTGGCTTGGGGTATATGACCTCACTCCTCCTAGGTAGGGTACATCAATTAGCAGATACCCATCAGGCCCCTCAGACACAAAATAGGGCAATGCAGTCAGGTCCTGCTGAGTCCAAAAACTTGTGTCCAATCAGTCGCTTAATTTGAGATATCGTTTGTTTGGGATTCATGATATTCGATGCAGTCCTGGATGATCCAAAGAACAACTGTTTGGCCTCAAAACATATAACTGTGGGAGTCTCACAATTGAACTCATCATCAAGTACAACATCAGTTCCCCTTTGCCTTGCGACAGCAACAACTCCACTCCTATTCCTAAGGTCAAAGCCACTCATTTCTGCCACAACAACTTCTTATCAGATTCCTTTACTGATCTGACAAAATATGTCATAACCTAAGTATTAAATGTTGATGTACGCTAGTACAACTGAACTCTAAGTAAGAAGAAGTATTTTTCTAAACGGGAAAAATAAACTTGCACTTATTTGGACATAGATTATCAGCATTGATTTAAGATATGTGATAAGGCTAAAATTCTAGGCATGGGCCACCAACAAGCTCGAAGCCCAAAAACCCATGAGGAACTGGAGGAAAGTCCATTGGCCAAACCGGGAACGCCTCCTATTAACCCAAGAAAGAGAGCTGAAAGGATGAGCCCCGACGGGCTCCCGAGGGGCAATGATCTAAACCCGGCCCAATTAGGTACCAGCTAAAGAACAGTCCAAAGAGAAGAAATCGGATCTCTGCCTCGAAGTTGTCCCGTCGTGCCACGCGTCCAGAGAACAGGAGGACCATCTCTGAAACTTGCGATGGCTACATCCTCCAGCAGGCAGAAGATGGTGGAGCATAACGCCCCAGAGATCGTAGGGCGCAGTGGCGCCGGCTGAAAAAAGACTTTTGCAGGCCAATGACAGGAGATCCCCACAGGATCGGTAAAAGGTAGAAGAAATCGCCAAAAACCACAAAGAGAGACAACCCATATACAAATAGATCAGTGCCCAACAAAAAGGGCATCCCCAGAGAACATTGATCAACCATGTCCATTCTATAAGCAAACACCAACCCCTGTAAAAGCCCAGCGCCTGAATCCCGCCTGTATACATCGGAGCTTTAATATACAGCATTAAGGAGCAAGAGACTCCATTACAGTTGACATACCATCGATCTATCGGCTGAGGCGAACTACTTATCTTCTTCTTTTTCTCTTTGATTAGACAGTCCAGTCTACCAAACCTGCTCTAAACACCAGATCCAATAGCCTCACATACGTTGGACTTGGGCTGTGATTTCTGAGACCCCGTCAATATGTAATAATACTAGTTAATTGTATTAATAAATTTTTCCTCAATATAGTCTTCAACTCCAATCGAATGATAACACAAACACAATTTAACAAATTCTAAAAAGTATTAACCACGACAAACACGATTTCACCATAATTTTTGCACAAAGCAAATAAATAACAGTACGCGAATCCATAAGAAAACAACAGCCAAATCAATAGATAATAAACTACATTCATTCAACATGTGAAATCTACGCTCAATTATAGAGAACCACATACTATGAGCAAAGTGAATGAATTTTAAGCGAGAAAATACAAGAAATTGAAGGCTGAATCGAAGCAATTATTGATAGAAATTGAAAGTATACCAGGTAAATTGAAGCTAAAGCACTACAGTAGGCCTTTTCTTCTTCTTCACACAACTGCTGAGATCGAGCTCCTTGAGTCCTCTTCTGTCAGAATCGAGCTTGGATCGCTAAGTCATTCCCTCTAGTTTTTCACCAATACACTTATGTAAAGCCCATTTGATAACTAGTTAGTCGGTTAGAATGTGATGTCATCGCTGAGTATATTGAGTTTTTTGTTTCTCTCTCCTCTTCTCTCTTTTTGTTATTCCTCTTCCCTCAATTGTGGGAATTGTATTCGGGGAATTCTACGATATTTTATCATAGACACAAGTAAGTTGTGCTACTGCTTGGACCAAGTTGAAATCGTTGACCAGGTAATATCAACGCGCCAATTATTCAAATTGGCAAGTTTGAAATTGGGAGCCGTCTGTTTCCCTCCAAAAGTGAAATTTTTAATACCCAAAATGCCCTCACATACACTAATCAAAGTTCACCTCACCTTTTATCAAATTCTCGAACCTAAAGCTTGTGGGTGTCTTCGCTAGCAAACGAGCAATGGTGATGTGCTGCGTTAAGAGAGGTTGAATATGAGGTAGGTTGATTTTGGTATAAATATATTCTATTAAGGAATAAGGGTTAGCTTTATCCAATTAAGGAATAAGGGGCTTTTCTAAGTACAAGGATGCAATGTGTTTTGCGGTCAAATTATAGGGAGGTAATTCATCAATTGTCCATTTAACAAGAGGATAAGCCTATAGTACCATAGAACATTTTCCAGTACCATACATCATAGATTTTTCATTGATTTATTTTTGACTATTTTTTGTGATAATAACCCCTAATAAGGTTAATTACAAAATACTCATTTCAAATGTAGGTCAAATTCCAATCAACTTCGTATGGATTCAATTTCAATAATTTTTTCCCTATAAGGGTGTGTTTGGGTAGTGTCGTGGGTCCTATTTATTCTTTGTTTGGAAAGCATTTTTTGAGACAGGATAAAAATTTTAGATCAAGCCTTGACCTGGTTGCTACAATGGTCCACAACCCCCTTACATCGGTTACAATTAACCCACCCCGTGGGTTACAAACCCAGGCAACAGGTTAACCATCCAGCAGACCCATTTGTCCTCTATTTCCCTATAATTCAACCATTCACACAACTACACACACACACACACACAATTGAGCTCGTCCAGGGGTTTGGGTTAGAGGTGACGACGAAGGTGTTGCATAGAGATGACAAAGAAGAAAAGGTTTGGAGAAACCCTGGTGGATTCGATGGGTCAAGAACGACGTTGAATGACTTAATTGTCGCTGACAATGATGAGGGTTTAGTCGTCGGCTTGTGAGCTTTTTCTTCATAAACGGAGAGTATCGCCATAGATACAGAGGTGAAAAGTGATTTCAACATATGGTGGTGGGTGGTAATGGTGACATTTCTATTGTGGCGGCGGTGGTAGTGTTTTTGTGCTGGTGGTGGTATTACTCCTCTGCTTTCTCCGTCACTGCAAAATTTTTCCATCTCTTTCTCTCTTTAGTATTATGGGTGAACACAAAGAAGCAGCGCCAATTTTTTTTCAACTAAGCTTAAAAAAAATTATCAATGGGCACAACGGTAAATAACTATAAAAGTCAAAGTAGAGTCCATCCAATTCAATTGTTCCTTGCCAAATAATGGTTTGGGTTAGATGACATAAATAACCCATTCAATTAAGTGTTTGAATGAATTTGGGTGGGATGGGATCGGATACAAAAAAATCTAATCTATTCCTATCTTTGTTAATTAATTGCTGACACTTGTATTGTTATGGTGTAGATACAACGATACATGTCCTGAATGTAAATTACAACTACAAAGAGTATAATCGATAATAAATATTTTATGATCAATCATTAGATTCACAACTTTTAAAAAAAAAGTTACACCTCATAGAAGTTAAATTATGCATTTTAATGGTGAAGCTGACTAGAATTATTCATGATCGATCGTAAATAATTTTGATAAATTATATCTTCACTTTTAAAAAATATAATTAAACCATAAAACCGATTGATATTTTATGAAAAAGAGCATTTGCTAAGCATAATTAATTTCAGCTCAATAAAACCGGAAGCTAAATGATACAGAGATACTGTATTGTACAAGTAGAAACATAAAATAAAAATTATACACTACTTTGCTAAGCAATAAATAAATAAATAATATCTACTAACTAAACATTACTATTCATCAGAAGCGTTGGGTTGGGTTGGGTTCGTTGATTGTATCGGACAACCACGTTTGCATTGGAGTAATCATATCCTAGCAGCTGATGATAAATATTCTTCCATACCCCTTCAGCCCATCTATGTCTGTATGGGCCAACACTCAAATCGAGTCCAGTATAGTACCATGGGTCAATAACCATCTGATTGAGTGCAACAGCATTTCTCAATAAATATATGGCACACTCCATGTGACTCCAGGTGCCAGAAAATCCACTGAGTTCAACTTCTTTCAAATGAGTATGGACGCATTGACCAATCTCCTCTACGCTTTTCTGCTCGTAATGCAGCGATTCTGCAATCTGTTACCATAATAGAATTTAATTAAATACATCATTATTTCAAGTCACCCACAATTGCAAGACGCAAGTTCTTTCCACTTTCTAAAGGTAGATCATAAAATCTTATCTTTCTAGATAAATTTAATCATGAAATAAGAAAGGACTCATGACAAATTGAAAACTTGACTCTTCACAACCAAATAACTCACCATCTCCAGAATATATATATCACATAAACTTTAAATCGAGCCAAAAAAAAAAGTCTACAGACCAAATCAATTATGATATGCAAGGCCAAAATATTAAGAACAAGGTTATTGCCATTGTCTTGCTGCTGCAAAAGTGATCACCACCCAAAGCTTTTTCTGCAATGATTTTGCAAAATGGATGAGCAGAAAACAGTACATAAAAATAAAGAGGACAATGAAAAAAGAGCTCCAATATAAGGAATAATAGCCAACAAAAGTGCTGCTCTGACACCAATATGCCCACATTTTTTTTTTGTTGGGAGAGAGAGAGGGGATGAATTGTCTTGTTCATTGTCATTCACAGAATTAGCTGACTATGTTGTAGCTGTTGTCAAAGCAAAACTTTTCCATCCCCAAGTCTGCACTTAAAGCATACAACAACAATGAATAACCCTTGCTGGTCCCCAAATTAGTCTCAGTCTAACCATTTTAAACAGTTTTACGATTATTTTGCAGCTGCCAACCATCCCAGGGTACATAATACTCAATGTACCTGCAATATGCAAAATTTATTTGAAATCATTATAGTACAATAAGAGAAAATGATATCAGAACCTCATTTAAAAACCCCAGTATTATCATACCAGAGCTTCCTTCAAAGTGGTTGAAGTTGATCAGGGAAGAATCAAGATTTAACCCTCTCCCCCTCTGTAGAAATTACAAACCTCCGTGTAATCATCACAAAAATCTATGGGGGTAATCATTGGTAGTATATTAGAGCATTGGTCACTATTTGCAGTCCAACCATTAGTTCTTCCATTCAGGAGACCTGTGGTGTAGCTACTGTTTTGGAACTAGAAACCAGATTTGTGGACTTAACCCCAAATTTTCAAATAAATCGTTCTATCATCTTATTTCTTGATTCTTATCAAATTTTTCTAGGCTTTTCGTATAGAAGTTAAGTACTTGGATTACTAATAGAATTCATATTTGAAAATTTGAATCCTTAAGGACCCTATGCTGTAAAATACTAGCATCAGTGGCCCAAATATTCTGGAAAAATAGAAAAGAAAAGAAAAGAAAAGAAAGAAAGGAAAGGGAGTTCAGGAGATTTATGAAGAGGTGTGAGAAATGCAATTGAATAGAAATTTTGTTGATGGAAAATTTTCTTGATGTTTACAGAGTTAATGGTGGAGTAATGGTTCAGAGGGGCATGCGAATTACAAACAGTTAAAAGAAAAGTCGGATCTTTTCCATGTTATCCATTTTTTATTTGTGGGACAAAGATTCCATTGTTTCTTCACGGGAGCACTTGGTCAATTTAAGGGTGTATAGATAGCAGATTTATGGCTCAAGCGGGAGGGCATGAAAGGAAAGATGGTTTGTGCGAGAGGGGATTGCGATAATATTTAGTTCTAATGAAAATATTGGGGTTATATGAGATCCTCTAGATTCCAGAACCACGCCGGCATGCACGTCACATTACAGTTTGATAAGCCAAGTAGATAAAGAAGGCAAATTTTCAAATCAATTGCTACAAGGATGGGAATGTACGCTATGAAAGATATGGTGGTAAAGTCTGATACATGAACCTGCTGCTCCATTTGTCAAAAAAGAGGTGGGTGCAGCACCTACGGATGAAAAATATGATCAACTTTGCAAGACCAGATGGAAGAAATAATATTTTTTTGTCCAAAAGAAAATGTAATTGGTAGTTTAATAGGACTATTTCAATCATTTATTTATTCAGCTATTATTGATTATGAATTTTTTATAGGAGTATTTTAGTAAGAATTTTATTAGGAAAATAATTACGGTCGAGAATTTTGTATTAGTGTGTTTCTTGGCCTAATCCCTCCTTTTCTTTCATTCTCTTTTCTCTTCTGTGTTGCTTATTTCCAATCCTGCATCAATCGGTGTCAAAGCCTAGCGTTGATCAATTTTTGGTCATCGTGCTTCCACAACCTTGATGTTTGTCGCCTTCTTCCGTTCTTCTTCAAATAAGGTTGCTTTAATCTATTTGTGGATTCAAAAATATCTGATTCCTGATCTCATTATCTTCGTTGTATTTATCATCACCAGACACTTTCATCATGATCAGAGTGGTGAAAAACACTCCTAGGTGCAAGTGCCTAAATTGGCCTGAGACAAGGCAGATGTTTAGAAGGACATAAGATCTAAATAGAAATTAACTTTGAATGATTTATAGTCAAAAAGAATATGACAACTTCTTATTTAACAAAAAAGAATAGAATTCAATAGAGGAACATGATACGTATGAGCTGGGGTTAGGCAATAGGATTAACAATTCTTTCTCTTCACCTAATTCTTCCATAATCTTCTTCATCCACAAACTACAAAACCTCACAAAACTAACATCAGCAGTAGACACTACATGTTGGACTAAAAAAGTCACTCCTTTGCTACAACCGATTTCAGTAAGATAAGTAAGGCACCAAAAAGTTAACACGAGTGGGCGAGTGCGAATGCATGTATGTGTATCAGTGTGAGTGTATCGATGAGTACCTCAAATTGTGTGTGTGAGAGAGAGAGAGACATATAGACTGCAATGCAATGATGACTAACCTGTACAGCGAGTTTCCGCAACAGGGGAAGGGCACGCAGAAGACGAGCCATAATTTTTACAAGATCATTCCCAGTGTCAAAATAGATAAACAAGGTTTAAAAGACAAAAATACCTTCAGATTATTCAAAAATAAAAGACAATAGTATCACTACTTAGGACAATAGTATCTCCAGCGCAACCACTCACAACAGGAGAGACAAATGCAATTGGCCATAATATAAATCCCATGAAAAAAAAATATCAACCTATCAATTATGTATTACAATATAATTCTGACGTTCAGAAAGAAACCGATTCTTAAAAGTCATAAGCAATGTTTGCTGACTTCAATATGCAGTATTCTTAAGGATCATAAGACATCCGATCCAGCACAACCAGAGAAATATGCACTTCAACCATTACAACTTTAATAGCACACGGATCAAACGAGAAGAAACTTGAGTACAATGCAAAAGACATCCAAATGGTGAAACAGACACCAGAAAACCATTATATTTAAAGAAAAAAGAAGAATAACAAGGAGTAGGGGGCGGGGGAGATGCAAAAATCAAATGTATACATTTACGGTGTTGGTGTATCAGATATATATCAATAAAAGTGGAATAATCAAATTGGTACAGGTATCAAGGTTGAGTATAGAGCATAAAAAAGCATCTCCTTTAAAATAATTTGACCGTTTCAAATTTAATGGCAGTTGTTCAACTGCAAACTATAATTGCTCAATCTACGATAGTAAGCTAAAAGTAGTCGAATTTGACCCGTTAATTTTCCTCCTTTTCTTGTTTTTTGTTCTTTCAGCTATGACTAAGCTAAGATTCTGTCAAGACTAAATAAAAAAAAAAATTGATGAGCCATTAGCCCTCATAATCCCAAAGACTTTTCCCAATCATCTTTTCCTACCAAAAGGTAAAGCTGTATACAACAATGACCAACATTAGCCCTTTATATCCCAACTTAGGAGTCCCATATGACAAGGATTGACGATGATATAATTTCAATGATGCTTCAGCCTTCTTATATAAACCAACTATCACAAAAGGTGGTCAGCTCAATTTGTACTTCACATGCTAACGCGCGTTTATCATAATAGATCAACAACTGGTATTTATGCATAAATCATGTTGGCAAGTGTCTCTGTCCTTTCCACTTCTTATTACTCTTTAGTTCACTTATACTAACATTTCTAGTAACAACTCATTTATTCAGGCAAGGCATCTTACGATGTCCCATTCCTTTGGCCATCCCATTAATATTTCTGGCTCTCCGGAGTCTCTCTGTAGGATACTTGGTCAATGTGTGACTCTACAGGTATTGTCCATCAAGATTTCTATGATTGGAAGAGGAAATTTTTCGGGAATGCGATCTTCAATCCTATTTAGTTAATGTAAACTCGAAGTTCTTCCTCTATTTATAGATAAAGATGAATCCATGAAGAACCTCCAAGAACCAATGTGGGATTCATGTCTTTGCCCTCCAACTCATATACTCCAAATGCTTTAGAGGGAAGTGAAAATTTTCACTTTCCCACCAATCTCAATCTAGAAAGTACTATTGTACTTTATGTATATTATATATATACTCTTATATATACATGTATTTAATGTTTATGTCACTTCATGCAAATGATGTTTTATTAATCAATATATCACTATTAGTAAATAACTATATATATATATATATATATATATATATATATATATAAAACAGGCAATGGCGTGCGATGACCGGTGGTGGGTGATGGAGGGCAACGATGGTGATGTTGATGGTAATGGTGGTGGAATGATGGTAGTAGACGTAATAAATAAAAAAAATGAGATGATAATAATGGTGGCGGTGGGCAATAGTGGTAACAATCGGTGGTGGGGGTGGTGGTGGGGGTGGGGGTGCGAGTGGGACGGTGGGGGTGGTAGTGGTGGTGGTGCGATGGTTTATAGAGAAGTGATTTTAAAGAAGTAAAAGTTATTTTTTTCACTTTTACTTACTTTTTTAAGTGATAAAATTACCTTTAACTCATTTAAAAGTAATTAAAATAAGTTTTTTCAAATACTATTTTTTTAAGTGTTTATGAGAAGTAATAAGCCCTAAAAACGCTTTTGAAAAGTTGATCCAAACATACCCTTAGGGGACCTGTTTTTTCTATTAAATTTGGAAATTTAATACTAGACATTAGATGAACTTTAAAATAAAATTTAAAACAATCTTAACCGTGAAAAACAAAAATTATTTTTATGTTTTCAATATTTGTACTTTATTAAATAGACCATATGGATATGTTTAAGAGTAACAGTACCATTTCTTGAACTATACACATTCTTTGATTAGGTTTAGGGTTCAATCTAAATTGAAGCTATTAAAAGTGTCAAATACTAGATTTGCATCATATTATATTTTATTGAAGTGACTTGTTGATCGTAGAGAGTTCCTTAGAACTATCATTATTCTCAGGTCAGGGAAAGAATTGTTGAAACCTACGGATGAACACACAAAACAATTAGGTGTTTTAGTTACAGAAATTGTTATCTGTGAAGAATTTTGGGAGGAAGTGGAGAATATCATAACTATCAATCACAAAGCCCATATTTCTTCTTATTAAAATTTGTGATGGGGATTGTTAAAAAATTGGTGAGATTTATGAAAAGATGGACACTATGCTTTGATGAAATAAAATATATTATGAGTGGTAGAAAGCACGTTAATAAATTTGCCTAGATTGAAAATTTTATTGCTTGACAAATTGGAGAAGATGAATATTCATTTCCATTGTCTTGGGTTTACACTAACACCATAGTTTTATAATACCCAATATTTTACTAGACTAGCAATAGGAGCTCTAAATCAAGGTAGGGAAGTGATCATAGGTGTTATGAAAGTATTTGAAACGATTGCAGAAGATGCAGAAGAACAAAAACAATTGCGAGAACAGTATGCACAGTTTTATTCACAAAAGGGTCTTTATGCTATGGTGGGTGGTTGCTCAAAGAGATGTTGTGACCATGGATGCTATTGATTGATGATCAACATATAGCTCAGAAACTCTAGCAGATGTGGCAAAAAAAAAATACTAATTTAAGTTTATTATTATTTATTTCTATTGTAATTATCATTATTAATGTGTTTTATTATTTGTTCATAAAAGATGTTATCCCAACTAATTACAAGTTCTTCAGTTGAAAGAAATTGGGGCGCACATTCATTTATTTACAATATCAAGAGAAATAGATTGAATTCTACCAGAGTTGAGAAATTGGTTTTCATTCATTCAAACATTCGTCTCCAATCACATTTTACTAAGGGAACAAATATGGACCTTTCAAGAAATGTGAAATAAGTTCAGAGTACACATATATCGATGTTTCTATTGTGAATGTGGAGGATTTGCAGTGGAAATCCTTGAAGGATTACAATATGGATAGTTTTGTCATTGCTAAAGAAGAAGATTGGGAAGATTCATCCTTATATGCTTCTATGTTTGTTTCTATTCACAGGCTACCACTCTGTCATTCTGAACTGCATCAGATTTAAATTTTCAACTTTGTCAGAGAAAAGAACACTACAAAAGATAAAGAAAAAAGAGTTGATTATTAACATTTGTACTCCAGAATTCTTTTTATTATTGAACAATTTTAATTTGAAACTTGTTAGGCATTTTAAGACTTTTACTTTGATTTGTGCTTCAAGTAGGAAGCTATTTAATTGCTCTCTGGTATGATATTTTTCAAATTTTAAGCATTTAAATTTATACTATCTTTTTGTGATTTTATTTTTTGATAATTAAATGTGTAACCATTATTTATTTATATGTATAATGTATAACTATGTATAATTCTTTGTAATAATGAAAACGATTTGAATAAGAGTTCAAATCGAACCGCGACCTAAAATAACGTATCAAGTAATCTTACTCTTATTGCTCTACACATTAAAAAAATAATGTATCCCACATTCATACCCCTACCACGTATCCAACCGACACGCAATCTAGATAACCCAACCAAACAAGTTGCACGGGAGATTTCCTGCAACATTTTGAGATAGTGACCTTCAATTTAGTGGACCTGCAACAACCACAGGGTCAGAAAAAGGGGTCCATGTGAACACCCGGCTTACCCTCTCCGAAGTTTAAGTCAGTATAAGATTGAAGGCTCAAGCTCAATGTACCCGGTCTTTTTTGGTTCAATATTGCGTACCTTTGTTCATTTTTCTGTGGGGTATTTATACTTGGAATAACAATGATTGCAATTACTTCAAGTCTCATCTGAGTATTAAATGCCTAACACCTTTACCCAGGAAAATCTCAATGATCTTCTCCAAGATCTCCACTCATTTAATGCGAAGGTGATTGGACAAGTGCTCAGGGACAAGCCGAGCAATTATGGCTTTCCCCGAGCACTCAAGTGCCTATGATCGGCGTCTGACACCTACGATAATGTTCAATGTTCGGAGGAACAGTGCCTCGGGGACCTCCGGGGATACACACTCGGCGTAATAGCCTTTAATGTTTAGCCATCATGACTGCAGGCCTAGGTTTTGAGGACATGAGGGCTCATTAATGTTATTGTTTCCATCACTCGCATCGCCATAAATGACTAGTCAAGTCACATTTAATGTTGGTGTCGGATCATGCACTCGGCGCCTCCGGTTCGTGATCTTTCGGCTTGAGTCCTCGGCGTCCTTTGATTTCTATAACGGCCTCAATTTTACACGTGTTGGTTTAGGGATCGTTGGGCTGCCTAGAGTCCTATCAACTACCCCTCAGCCTCCATTCTTTCTGCGGTGTGGGACAAGTGGCACAAGGAGACTGGAGGCTTATCGAACACACCTCATTAATAGCGACAGTTTCTTGCATGTCTATCGCTGCCCTTTTCAAATACCCTAATGATGACTTGTCTTTTCGATTCTGGCTCCTGCCCATAGGGTATAAATAGGAGACACTTAGGCCTTTTTAGAACTTTTGCATTCTCAGCTTCTCTTCAGCAATCAGCCCCCGAGCGTTCCTCTGTTCTCTCTCGGGCACTCCTCCGTTTTCTTCCGAGTTCCCTTCCTGAAGGCC